AAATATGCACATTTTCCCTCTAAATACAGACTTCCAACTGCAGTGGCCTTGTATGTTCTTGCACTCAGCCCTCACAGTCTGCTGGTCACATCTGCCACAAGTTATCACAAACTATTTGACATTGAGGGGATTTGCAAATCCACTTCTTTAAGCTGGCAATAAAATGAGCCAAGAGCAACCAGTCAGTTTAATAAGCCAGTTTATCAACTCCTGAAGCATCAAAACAGTCCAGATCACTAAACAAATACAAAGATCATTTAACATGCTTAGGCTACCAGTCCTTGTACTGAGTCAGCAAAGCTCCAACCAGCATTTCCTGTGAAAGGAAATTCTGTCTGTATGACTGATTCCCATGGAAAAGACAGGTGTGCCTGGCAATGGTCTGTCAGAGAAAAAAATTTAAACCCCATTTTTATAAAAAGATTGTAGATAGATGATGATGTAAATTGGCAGGAGACCCATATGTATGTTGCTTTACAAGCTATGAAGTAATCCAGTCATTAAATAGTTAATACCCTCTTCCTTTGCTATCCCTCACCCTCTCCTGAACAAAGGTGGCCAACAGATACATTTACACAAATTGGAAACTTCAGACAGTAAGACAGCTCCATCTTTCCATTGCCAAGTACAAAAAAGAGGCATAGCCCTGAGGTGATGCAGTGACTGCAGCACATGCTTTTTACATCAGCAGCTAAAGGAGCTGGAAGAACCAACCAGCATCATTCACCTAATCATGGAAACTAGACAGTGTGTTGCACACAAAAGCCTGACACACTTATTTGTTACATACATATGCTATTTAATAAAAACCAACCAATTTTATTGCACAGCCTGAGAGTTTTATTGTCTGTAAAAATTTAATGATATATAATTATCCCAGTTAGAATCTAAATGTGTAATAGAGAACACATGCATTCAAATTTTTATATTCTTAGCCACTGCTCTGGAAAATAAATGCTTTCATTGAAGACATACATATAAACAATTTGGCACATCTTTTCAAGGATGTAAGAGAGTTATTAGACAAAGGAACCTGAACACTTAGTTATTTACATCATGCTCCAATTAAGCCTAGACCCTTCATTAAGTCATTTCAAGACTGTCATTGCTTGGAAGAAAAGGAGGTGTGTATTGGGCTAATGAAAGTCTTCTTAGAATGGCCATGACAGGCTAAGGATGGGTCTCAGGCCAGCACCACTTCTCAGCAATAGTAAAAGAGAGCTGTCCAGGGCAGGGTGTGAAAGCAGAGTAAGCAAACACCTAGTGATACACACGTACTTCCCTCTCCCAGACTCAGAAGAATGTAAGTTCAAGGGTTTCTCCAGATGGATGCCTTCACTCACTCTAATAGATCTTGACGGGTTTTTCTTCCATGAATTTGCCCAATTTGCTTTTTGAACTCCTGCAAAACCTCTGGTATCCAGAACAACCTGTGCCAGAATTGTGCCACTGTATGCTAGGTGAAGAGACATCCCTTTTAGTTTGTTTGGTTGGTTGGAACCTAGAAACAGTTTTATTTTGTGCCCTTAATCACAAGAGGATAAATAACCTTACACTGATATATAGAACTAATCACCCACCATTTTTTTTCCCAGTATATTTGATTTCAGTTTATGTAAGTTTCAGTATATTTGATTGTTTTCTATATGGAAACTGTTCCAGACTTTTGATTATTTTAGATACTTCTCATCAACATCCCTCTCTTCCTTAAACCAGTCCCACTCCCCACCCCTGTTCCTGGGCATAAGTTATTTGGTATATGAAGAATGGAGAGCAATGCAGAAGGGAGAGGTAGATTTGCATAACATCACTACAGTTGGTTTCTGTGAGGTATGAACCAATTCTTTTTTGAAATTTGCCTTCACAAAGAGGAGAATGAAAGACAACCAAATCTCTGCCCTGTAACAAAATCTCTAATTGCTTAGAATGTCAGCTATGGCTCTCTAAAATTAAAACCCAAGTCAACAAGAGACACATCTCTCCCCAGTATAAATAGCATTTAAGCACAAGCAGAGAATAAAATGCCTCTACAGGTGAGCATTCAGCCATGGACTGCTGGATTCCCACAGTCCCTTTTGTGCTACAACATTCCACAGCGTAGCTAAAAGGACCCTCCAGTATTTTCTAATGACACGAGGCAATCAGTATTTAATCTAGATGCATGCTCAGCTCTGCCTTTATCATTATCCATCAGCAAAATATGATGTGAAAGGAAAAACAAATGTTTATTTGCCATGTCCAGGAGGCTCACAAAGGTGATAGTCCTCCTTTACCAGAGAGATTATAATCTAATTGGCAGGAACACAAGTCATGAGAAAATGGGTTATTCTTCCTGCCCAACTTGTTTTAATGTCAACAGCACCAAGTTTTGATGGGCACACTTGACCTATCACCTAGAGCTAAAAAACCTGAGGGTGTTGTTCTGGAAGTCACATGCCAGGCTCATTTTCTAAGCCAAAGGCACCTTCCCTCTCCAAGTTACCACGACAGTTCAAGCCTTCTGCCACAGCCAGAGGCAAAGTAGCCTTAACAGCAATTCTTGTCAGTGATGAGGGACAGCATCTATCACATGCTAAACAAGAAGCTGTGGTATTATAATGTGGAAGAGTTCAGGGCAAAGTAAGTTCCAAAGACACGGGAGCCAGTACAGTCTGTGGCCATACACCATAAGATAATCAGCACTTCCTGATATCAGAAAAAAGGGGTGACAGGCTTAAAGCCACCTCAAGCAAAAAACATAAACCAACCAGTATTTATATAAATTGTACATTTAAACAAACTGATCATTCTTCAAGATACACTGCATACCCATTATATCCTCATGGGATATTCCCCACCCTGTTGACCTGAGTGATTCTGAAGCCGCATAAGGAAAGATTCAAAGTTCACCTGTTCCTTTCTCGCCCCTTCTCTCCCCACTGTCTTCTAAGAATACAGACTCCAGCATGCATTTAAATTTAGGTAGTGAAGTTCTGCATTGAAGACAGTGGGAACAGTTTTCTTACCAGCCCTTCAAACCTTTATTTGACAAGATCCCTCTTTAGTAGGATTTACAAATCTTGTAATGAAAATCCAAATTCAGTAGTTTTATTAGTCATTGTCTCAGATATCAGTTCAGAAACATTCAGTTCATAGTTTTATCTTTTCTCTGATTCCTGTTCCTGTTCACTTGCCTTGCCAATAATAATGGTTATGCAGAAAAGCAGTATCAAGGAAATAACATTTTATAAATTTTAAGTAGTATTTTATAACTGGAAATGAAGGACATTGTTATTGTTATTGCCATATCTATTGCTTATCAGTAACTCATGAGCCTCACTTTGCTCAGTGCTTTCTGTCTGTATTTCTGTGGGCCAAATTCAGAGGTAAATCACCCTCCTCTTATATTAACAGGAATTGTACCTTTCAAACAGTATTTACATCTTTAGCTACTGGTCAAAACAGAACTATATTCATCTGAGTATTTTTACAGCAGGATAACAGCTTCTACACAAGAGAGTTTGACATAACTGTCTTAATTATAGAAGAATAAAATACACACTCTTTACAGAAACATAAAAATCATTAAATCCAGCATTTCCATCCCAGATCAGAGTAATGCATCTAACAAGCTATCAATTAGTCCATAATAATAATAAATAGTCAACAATTTTGAATTTTCCCTGAAGAATAACCAATCCTTTAAAACTCCTTTAAAGGAAACACAATTCCTTTGAAGTTGGGCCCAATGTAAGGTCTAATGGGATTAACTAACATTAAAGTATTAGCTCACAGACAAGGTCAGGCTACTGTGGGTTTATGATTTCCAGAACGGTGCTGGATTCTACCCAGCTCACTTGAAGTGCCTTGCATTTGTCTGCAGCCATCCAGGCAGGTGAGCCCTTCAATGTAATTGCTTCTTCAAAGAACACATCTACTTCAAACCAAAATGAAAATTTGACCACTAAAGAAACCACAGCACTAGCTTTGACACCTGCTAATAAATAAAACTGTTAAAACAAGCAGTGTTTATTCTCTGTTTTTTAAGACTTACTTTTTCTGGCTGTACTACATGAGAGGCTACAGAGAGGGAAAACTGGTTCAACAGCTGACTGTAAACAAAGCACTGAAAATACTGATGAAAACACTGAACAGAAGGAATGGTACATTTTCCTACATCTATTTTAGTTCCATGGATTTTAAATAACTGCCAGTGTACCTTTATGTACAACTTTACACAAAAAAACAACACACATTGCACTTTATTGCATAATTACCCTCATTAAAACTTGGATTCAACATCCACTATAATCAACAGGAAGAGTTTCGTCCTTATAGCTTACTTTTAAAAAGAAGGTAAAAATTACTATAGTGTCACTGTAGTCATTCTTTTAAGTTATAAAACAAGTCCATATTTCACCTTTACTTAGAGAAACAACTAAAAAATTCACAAGTCAGAATATTTGTACTGAAAAGTATACACATTATAAATTGTGTGGCTTTTATAAAATGTGTTTTCTGGTGTTGCCTTCACATCTGAAGCGTGTGATAGGGTGGCAGAGCTGGATGTGATTTGCACATCACTTCAGCAGTGACACACAGAGCTCTTACAATCTTATCATCACACGACACAGTTTCACAACAGCAGCATTAACCACCACTGGCAACTGAGATAAAATTTCTCATACACCCATGCAAATGTATAAAAGGTTTGGATTTAAGTCCTGCATTCAAAATTCCCTTTTATCCTGATAATTATTTACTAATAAGAGATTTTCTACTTTACAGTAAACTGTCATTATAACTTTTCATTTTTCTTTTAAAAGTATTAGCACAGAAAATGAGAGCAGCAATATAGCAAATTCAATTTTTTCATACTAAGCAGAACAACTTATTCATGCTATGTATGAAAACAATACAGCTGAGAAGATGAATGGGTTTATTTCAGAGTACCCCTAATAACCATATTTTAGTTTAAGGGGTTGGGAAGGAAAGGCAAAAAAGAAAATGAAATTACTCACACTTGTATCCAGGCTGCAGATACTGATTGTATCTTCATCTTGAGTACTCTGTTTTCGTTTTTTCTATAAAACAAAATGAAAAGAAAAGCTTAGTTTTGATAATGCCAACTACCATTAGCTTGATCCTGAAACAAGTACACATAATGAAGTCACACACATAAATACAAGTGTGTATATATAGTTAATTATTTTCTCTCTTCATTATTATAATTACCATGTATGTGAGTATAAACTATTTTCACAAGTTGAAAAGCTACCCACTAGCACATTAGTAAATTAAATGTTGTTCCTTTTTCTGCTCAGTTTCTTCAGTTAAGAAACTTAGATCAAACTAAAGGCATAAGTAATTATTCCATGTTGTAAATTGTACTTTGGCACTTAATATGAACTTCTGTAACTAATGAGACTGTCAGGAGCAGAAACTCGTATTTTGTGTTGAAAGGCTAACCTTAAGATTTTCAAAACATATTCAGCAATCAAGTACTATTCCCAGACAGTCAATATAGTGAGAATAAAAGGTGAAATGTACTGCAGGAATTACATTAGCATGTATTTGGGTTTCACTATCCATGTCAGTGATTGCATTTCTGCTCTATATTCAGGTTTTGGTTTTGCAAATGGCACACCCTCCCTTGTGTCATTTCACAGCTTCACCACAAGATTCATATTCATGCCCTTCAAATAAGGATGACATTCCATTTAGCAGACCTCTGCATTTTCTACCAGGTCAAGAAGATTCAGGAAACAAGAGAAGTGACAGAATACAGGATTCTTATTTATCCAGCTGTGTTGTATTCCACAGCCAGCCAGAGATAAGCATTCACACATCACAGTTTCCAGTCTACAGGAGTCAAAGATGAGCAATTTAGAGTGAAAAAAACCCACACACAGATCCATACAGAGCTCCCAGATTATGAGATGATGCAAGCTCAGCTACCAGGCACAAGTTGCACACGATGCAGGTATTTTTTAATTATTAAAAAAATAGAGAGAGAAAAAAAACTGTGTCTCCCCTCCACAGTACCCATGCTCCCAGCTCTTGTGAAGCCTGGAGGTTTTATTCCATCAAGCCACTGAAACAACTACTGAATCTTCTGGGTCAAGCATAAGGTTTCTGAGAACTGCTTCTCTGATGAACACAGATAAGGAATATTTATCACAAAATCCAGATGTTTTGATTTCATGGGTTTTTTTAAATTAAACTGTAGGTGTTGAAACTTTTTTATATTTACTCACTAGTTTGCAGCAGATCTTTGACTTGTGTAATCATATTTAAATGCAGGAAGTAACTTCTCACAGGTTTTTTTGACAATAATTTCAAAGTCAGTGACAGCTGGGTTTTAACATCGTTATTATCCAGAAACTGGACCATGAGTTCTGTCACCACATTACCCAGTGAGAAATGTTTAATGAAAAGTAATTCTTCACTCTAGGACTAAGCACAATCAAATCCCTTTTACCATTACAGTTCATATTTTTAGCAACAAGTCAAAGGACTGACTAGAACACAGAAATTTCTGGACCAGACCACACTGAGCAACAAACAGAAATATCTGAAATCATATTGAGTATATTTGCTTACCCTGTGTCAGTCTCTTATAAGGCTGGGTTTTTTCCCCCACACAATAAATTAATCTGAATTAGTATTCAAGGGTTTGCCAGTGTGAATTCATTGTGCAAAACACAAAACAAGGATGAAATCTATCAGGTCAGTCCGTTGCCCAAAGGGTAGCATTTCCTAAGATCCCGGTGAAGTGTTGCAGACTATTTTTCAAACCTAATTAGACTTCTGTGAACACAAATGCGTGCATCCTTAAGTTTTACTCAAAAAAAAAAAAATTTATTTTACTGAAGTCTACCCTGAGGTTTTATTTCATAAAAAAGAAATTATTAAATGTACCAGCCCTCCCACACAGTGGTCACAAGTTAAATAAAAATGCAGGGTGTTTAGATTTGGAATACAGATTTCTACAAGAGAAGGATAAATTAAAATGGTGCATGGATCTGGTTTACCTGAGTCTATACTAACTGATAATGCTAGTATACAGATGGACAGGATGCTACTGCATTCACAGCTTGAGTTGGTGTTGCTTTTAGCCTGATATCTTTAGTGATAGAAGTATAAAAATGGTTCTAACCTAAGCCTCAGTCTACAAAATATTGGAAAAAAAAAAATGGAAGTTAATTCCAAAATCAGTATAGTAATTAAAAAAAGAGAGAGAAAAAGGTAAGTTTCGTGCTTGATTAGAGTATATGCTCCCAGTACTCTACAGGCAGGTCAAATTAGAAAAAAAAAATAAAATTCTCTGCCTAAAATAAATTCTATGCATTTTGAAACTATAATAAATGCTTTCTACAATGGAATAGACTCAATTTCATTGCTAATGGAGTGTAACAAATGAACACACACACAACAAATAGGCAGCTCCATTGTTAAATAACATTAAAAGACTCTTATTGCAGTCACATGGCTACAGATTAACACAGAAGGTGGCATTTCCAACACAGGCCAACTCTAATGAGAGCAGATTGAGACTATAAATTACATAATATGAAATAGAAGCCCACTGGGCAAGGTTACAGGATTAAAGTGAACTTGAACGAGGTAGGACAGCCCTTTTACTGGAGAGGGCAAGTTCCACAAACACTATGTCTGGGCTTCTAATTGCTACATTCAAATGTGTCCAAAGCACAGAGGTATCATGGACAAAGCAGTGGCCATGAGGACAAGCATCCACCGCAAGGCTATTCTGCACAAAATGTAATTAGGAGTAATTAACATGCTCATATCTTATTTAGAGACCACCTCTGTGGTTATATAACTAAATATCCAAACAGTCACAAGGAACAAAGCAGTATCACCTGTGATGTACAGACCAAAAGCAATGAAAAGACAGGGAAAGTCTAAGAAAAGCAACTACATATTAATTGTGGGACAGCGTGCACAAAGTAGATCTCTTGTTCTACCTCTTATTTCGTTGTGCTAATCAAAGGATCACTCCTCACTGTATTTCAAATCTTCTATTTATTGAAAAGTTATACACACACACACACACAAAAATAATCTACCAAACAACACATGTACTGTACTATTCTAAGCTTGCAATATTATACTTCTTAACTTCTCTGTAAGTTTGTCTCAGTGATTAGGCAAGACATGTCATTTCATACAGAAATTGTTAAATATTAACCACTGCAGGCAAGATCAATGTTTTAAATTCTCTGAGAGTTTCAAGGGCTATTACCATTGTATAAGGGGGAGGGGGAAAACCACGGCAAAAAAAAAAAAAATCCAATAATTTAGCTACCAGATAAATTTCTTTGCCCATAATAAGTGGATTAGAAGCAAAGATTGTAGTAGATATTGTGCAGGGAGCATAAGGTGCTCATTAAATTAATCCCTGCTCTTTGTGAGGAGCTTTTCCCCAAAGGAGTCCAAGTCCTGTCTCAGTTGCCATAGCACAATGCAGCTGACCTCTGAATCTCCCATGTTCCAGGAAATCACCCCTTAAATGTTACTCTCCATTTGATGTTTTAAACCACAGGGCACATGGAGCAATACAAACTTCACTGCGTTGTGATCTCACCACTTCCACGTGTATTCCTTTCCCAAGCCCCCCGAGCACAGTGGAACAGCTCCAGGACAAATCCAGAGGCAGAGGCAGGTGATGGAGCCCTGTGTGTATCACACCCCCCAGGAAAAGGCAGTACAGTGTCCTTAGCCCAGCCACATTCACTCACCACCTCCAGAGCTCGTGTTTTCCATGAGAATGCCAACCTGCAGCACTGCATGGGTACACTGAACACAAAACCTGGGATTGCTCCCATCAGGCTATGAGCAAGGGACAAATGCCACCTGCAGAGTATTGCTTTATCAGAATTTGTACATACATGAATCAAATAAACTGAAAACCATTATGAAGCTGTTTGACTTGCTGGGAAAAAAGGAAAGTTTGAAACACTTCGATAACTCCCCTTTTTTGCACAGTAGTTGGAGATCTTAAGAAAGGGGGACACATCTACAGGAAAAAAAGTAATAAGTATATGTTCTGATTAGAAATGTCTCTGTGTTTTCTGAGGGACCACACAGGTGCCTTACATGTATCTGAAAGGGTACCTCTGAGAAAACTTCTCTTATCACAAGTTTGAATCCTAAAATTTGTGATACTGTTGCCTGAAAGGCTGTGGCTGCATCCATAGTTACAGAGACAGGAGACTGGTCTTAACATAGCAGGAAAGAGTTGCTTTCCATAATTATCTCACAGGAGATGAGAAGGTAAAATATTCAATTACACATTAAAGCAGTGATTTAATTAAAGGAATTAAAGCAATAAGACATTGTTATAGGAAGGCTGGATTAACATCCTCTCCATCACAGGGTTTTACTTACCAATCCACAGATTTATATTTTACCAACTGGGAAACGAAATGCAAAGATGCACAAAAATAGCCTGACAAAACCCATCCTGTGACAGGGAAGGAAATGCTTTTCAGAAGAATTACTGACTTTTGTTAAATTATTCATTCTAAATGTTTAGAAATGTGTCTGCACACAGACTGGTATAAAAAAATAACAATTCAAGACAATGTATTTGCATAGGCACATCATACCCTTAGATCTTCTAAGTCACAGACAGACTAATTTCAAAATCAAACACGAAATAACTTACTTTTAAAGCCTTTTTTATGGTACAGAAATCTATTTAACAATGGAAGATCCATTCAATCTACTGAAATAGATTTTCCCAACCCTCCAAAACAAAAAGTCCAAAACCCAGAAAAATTTGGAAACCATTCAATTAGTTTGTATTTTCAGATTGCTTTCATATGAAAATATTTAAAAAACAGTCTTTTCAGAACATACCTCTGAACACACTTCAGCATTGCTAATTGGAAGAAAATAATTTTGTAAATAATGGAGTTATGATATAAGATCTCAATGAACGGAAGTAGGTAGAAGTGCATGTATATACACTAATATATAAAAATATATACATGTGCATATATAAGTACACACACACGTAATTTGCAATAACACAGAAAAGGGAAAACCATGGCTAACA